CCAAATTGGCCTCTAAAAAGCTTGGCGTGCTCAGCAGAGCGGGACAGTATTTCATGCCGGCACACCGCCTGCTACTTTACAAGGCGCAAGTTCGGCCTCACATGGAATACTGTTCCCATCTCTGGGCAGGGGCTCCCCAGTGCCAGCTCCTTCCACTTGACCGCATCCAACGCAGAGCGGCTCGAATTGTCGAAGACCGAGCCCTTTCCGATCGGCTCGATTCATTGGCACTGCGAAGAGATGTTGCATCCCTTTGCATTTTCTTTCGCATCTACCATGGGGAGTGCTCTGAGGAATTGTTCGGATTAATCCCAGCCGCCAAATTTCACGAACGCACATCGCGGCAGAACTCCCGATACCATCCACACCATCTGGATGATTGGCGGTCCACCACTGTGCGATTTAGAAGATGTTTTCTTCCTCGCACGACCTCCTTGTGGAATCGATTACCATCAGCGATTTTTCCGGACCGATACGACTTAGGGACCTTCAAGAAAAGAGCGTACTCCTTTTTAAAAGGCCGGCAACGCATCTGCGATTCCCCTGGTGTTGCAGTTGTTCATGGGCGGCGGTAGTCACTTACCATCAGGTGAGCCGCATGCTCGTTTGCCCCCTCTCCTATAAAAAAAAAATCGAAGATTGATGTAAGTGTCTATGGGCCACAGCATCCACTTACCATTACGTGCACTGTCTGTTCGTTTGTCATCGTTATTCTATAAAAGAAATCCTTGCAGGACATCGCACCCCCATTTTTAGTCAAGGGTATATGTAGGTTTCTATGGGCCACAGTATCCACTTACCATCAGGTGAATTTTGAGCTGGCTTGTCATCCTTAATGCTATAAAAAGAATCTCAATTTAAGAAAAGCTTACAATATGTAGGTTTCTATGAGCCACAGTATCCACTTACCATCAGGTGAATTTTGAGCTAGCTTGTCATCCTTAATGCTATAAAAAGAATCTCAATTTGAGAAAAGCTTACAATATGTAGGTTTCTATGGGCCACAGTATCCACTTACCATCAGGTGAATTTTGAGCTGGCTTGTCACCCTTAATGCTATAAAAAGAATCTCAATTTAAGAAAAGCTTACAATATGTAGGTTTCTATGAGCCACAGTATCCACTTACCATCAGGTGAATTTTGAGCTAGCTTGTCATCCTTAATGCTATAAAAAGAATCTCAATTTGAGAAAAGCTTACGTTTAAGACCGGTGAATCCGTCGCAAGGTCGACATAACACACATTATAATTTTGTGTAAATAATAATAACAATAATCTTCCACCACATCTTATTTAAATGCCGTGCGTCTAGTTTGATTAACCAATAATGACGTTACAATAACATGATGATAATAATTTATATCATAAATTGTTTAATTGGCAGTTTCGATTATATGTAAATCTATGGATTTACGAATAACCTTTTTTTGAATCTAGAATTTATTAACTTCAATAAAACCCTAGGGTCTTAATGAAGTAATGAACTGCTGTATCATAAGAGAAGACAGTGAGAAGTGAACTAGGAGATGTGCTGCATCATCTTCCTGTTAGTGACTTAATAATAACGAAAAAATTGCGGTGGCCAACTCGTCTGTCTAGTGTGGCAACTATGGCAAATAAGTATTCGAAATCCAAAATTCTGTACTCGATATATTTTTTTTATTCAGGCATGCAAGTTTCTTTTTACATAAATAAATAAATAAGAAATTTTACAGCGAGTGCTTATCGCCTAAAATACCACTTTTCATGCGACTTATTTTACAATTTCAATCTTAATACCATAAAAACTGAACCATTAACCAAGATATTTATCACTGTAACTAACATTAACGAGATAATTAATGCATTATAAATAATCGATCGTGTGACCATTTGAACTTACAAATTAAGACCGGTACAATTATAAGTAAAGTTATCAAAACGATTTGTAGAGTTCAAAGTTCAGATTTATTTTGATAGACATATATCATGTAAGTGAACGGGCAAATTCGGTGCGTTCATCTTATTTTAATGCGTAGATAATTTAAAAAGTGTATTTAACAAAACGCGTAATTTAATGTATCTATAAATATTATATCGCTAATTTCGATAACCTTTTACCCGCTACAAATGCGATAAGTATGTCAAATTTTACTAATTAATTTTATTCATATCACCCCATAAGAGGCGACAAAGGCAAATTAAACAGGAGATGGGCTACAGCATCTTTCTTATAACAGCTCAAAACAATAAAAAATACTGCGATTGGCAGCTCCCTTACCGAGCGTAGCAATTTTTTTTTAATATTCTACTAAGCCAGCGCTTATCTACGATCCCACCTGATGGTAAGTGCTGATGTAACCTAAGATGGTGAAGCGCACTGACTTAACAAAAGCCTATTCACTCTTGCCTTGCAGACACCCACACTGTAATCGGATGGAAAGACAGATGCTGGCAACTTATTCCACTCCTTTGCTGTACGCATGATGAACGACGTGGCAAACCATTTGGTTCGAATGCGTCGTAAGTCAACAACGAAAGGGTAGAGTCTGGCCGTACGTTTGGTTGTCCGATGGTGGAAGGGAGAGGGAGGAATTAAATTATGCAATTCCTGCGTACACTCTCCGAAATGCATCCTGGAGAAAACCGAAAGGCTAGCTACTTTACGACTGTGTTCGAGGTTAGTAAGATTGGTTTTAACCAAATTCGGGTCACCAATAAGCCTCTTAGCAAGCCTTTCCATTGAGTCCAAAGCGGCTAGGTGGCATTTTGCAGCACCAGCCCATATATGGCAGCAATACTCCATGCACGACCGGACTTGCGCTTATATAAAGTAAGCAGCTATTCCGGCGTGAAGTATCGCCGCACCTTTGCAAGGACTCCCAGCTTCCTTGCAGCTGCTTTGACTTTGGACTCAATGAACCGCCCGAAGTTCAAATTTGAGGATATCTCAAGCCCTAACAACTAAAGGCGGTCAGTATATTTCAGTGACACATTTCGGAAAGAAGGAGCCAAGGTGAGTTGGCTCCTTTTTGCAGTGAAGAGACACGTTTGTGTTTTGGAGGCGTTGAACTTCACAAGATTGGCATCGCCTCATTCGGAGACTGCCTATAGTGTGAGATTCACACGCTCTACCATAGCTTCTCTTTCGGACTGGATTTGATCCCGACTGGCCCGAGGACTTGGTTGGTAGAGATACCACAGACGATAGCACAGTTGTTGAGAGCAACAACTGTGCTATCGTCTGCATACCCATAGATACCGGGCATAAGCAGATCATTAATATGCAGCAGGAAGAGAGTTACGGAGAGAACGGACCTCTGAAGAACACCGGCGTTAATCGCCATAGGATCGGATGAGCAGCCATCGACGACGACCCGGAGAGACCGTTCACTCAGAAAGTCCTTTACCCATTCAATCAGATCAGGGGATAAACCGTACGCTGGAAGCTTACCCAAAAGGCTAGTGTGCTAAACTCTGTCAAAGACCTTCGAGACATCAAGGGAAACAGCAAGTGCTTCTCCACTGTTCTCGAGTGCCCCGCCCCATATGTGTGTGGCATACGCTAGAAGGTCCCCAGCTGAACGATTTCGGCGAAACCCATATTTCCGGTGACTAAGGAGATCATTCTGTTCTAGGTATGCCATTAAGCGGGCATTCAATATACGCTCCATAATCTTGCAGAGTATGGAGGTAATTGAGATTGGCCGATAATTGGCAGGGTCGGCACGGCTGCCTTTTTTTGGAACAGGCTGCACGTTGGCCAGCTTCCAGGATTTTGGCACTATTCCAGTCCTAAATGTGAGGCGTCTTCTCCTGTGTTGGCACGCTTGTGCCAACACAGGAGACAACTCAGGTGCACAAGCCCTTAGAACTATAGCTGGTATACCATCTGGTCCACTAGCTTTATTCACGCCTAGACACCGCAAGGTTTTAGCGTAGCAATTATTGCAAATATCCATCTTAAGATGCAATTTATGGGGGAGGCCTTCGTTCACCTCGTCTTTGGATAAGATAAATAAATGAATGAACAAACAAACAACCTTTACATTTTTTTAGAATACCTGGTTCATCAACATATCAATGGTATCATATAACTTTAAAGAAATTATACGAGTATATGGACTAAGTGGTCGCAGTGTAATAGAATGCCTCCTACCATTTTCTCCCGTAGGTGTCTTAGGTGTGATAAGCCCTTTTTATAAACTATGAGTGACGAACGAGCACACAGTCTACCTGATGGTAAGCGGATACTGTGGCCTAAACCATCTACATTGATCCTCGATTAAGAATCAAATGGAGATGCGTTGTCACCCGTGAAGGCTAAGATGGAATGCCTCATTTCCATTAAAAAGGGCCTCCAGTTCTCTACACTCACCATACGAAACACAGCAGTGTTTAGCTGCTATTTTACGCCTGATACTGATATCATCAACCCGCCTGCTAAGCGTGATGATTAAGACCGTTAAAAAAAAGACCGATCCTGCCTGAAATAGAAAAGCCACATGTCCAGCAGTCCAGGACTTGTACGGGCTGATAAGAAAGATAATGACTGTTAGGAAAAATGAGCAGTCCTTAAAAATAGGGAAATTCTGGGGTTATAGTCTCCAAAACTTACGTTAACCCAATTATACTAACAGTCAGATAATAATTAAAAATTAAAAATTTTGTACAGCCGACTTCAATATAAGTTATTAAGAATAACTCAAAAACTATTAGTCTGACCTCGATCAAATTCATATGGGACCACACGACAAGTACCAGCTTTCAAATATAAAAAGAATCATCCAAATCGTTTCACCCAGTAAAAAGTTATGAGGTAACACACATAAAAAAAAACATACAGTCGAATAGAGTACCGTCACCTTTTTGGAAGTCGGCAGAAAAAATTGCTTGCGCCTCCGTTAGGCATACTACTTCTAATATAGACCTATTGGTCTATATCAAGAGTAACGATTTTTTTTAAGAAACTTCTATAATAAGTTTAAAAATGTATGAATTAATAAACCATATTATCCCCAGGCAGAGAAGAAAGGATGTTCAGCCACAGAGTACGGTCTAGTGTTCGGTGTGTTCGAACTGGTTGTGTTTCTAGTCAGCCCGCTGTATGGCGCCCATCTCAACCGGATTGGACCGAAGCTGCTCTTCAACGCCGGTATTCAGACGACGGGAACGTGTGCCATATTGTTTGGGTATGTTTTGAACGCAAATTTTTAACAGTATAAAAAAATTTTTTTTTTCTTATTTATGAACAAAAAAGTCTAAAAGACAACCGGTCAACAATAAAACCAAAAAAAAATGTTTGACACATAATTATTCTGGAGAGTACACAGGCTGGTGTAATAAGGCGATTATTTTATTTTCGTTTGTATTAAGGACAGAAAAGTGACTCAAAATGTTTCAGATGACGTTTTAACCATCTGCAAGTAAGTAAAAAATTACTACTCATATTTACGAGATTCTCATGGGTCCCTAAAGGCTCCCGTGTGTGTCGTGAAGGCATTAGTTTGACAAGTTTGTCAAGTTTGTCAAACATTCACATGCTTTAAGAATGATTGACCCGAATAAATAAATAATAAATAAATATTTTTGTTGTATTTTTTGCGTTGGGCTTGTGTTCGAATTGACTACTGTTGTGAACCACTCCTGGCACGAGCTTTTTAAGCTTAGCTAGAGTGGTTAACAGGAACATTAGTAATTTTAAGAGCATTGCTATTATATTTTTCTAATTTAAAAAATAATGATGCCTTTTGCGAGCAGGTTTCTATCAATCTAATTTTGCTCGAAGTCGCTTCAAACTGACATCAAACGGTTTAAACAAACATATAATAAGATTTGATTTTTTTTTATAACTGGCTTTACGGCTCTGGATTCTAGTCCTTCTGAGCCTGAAGTTACAATGCATAATTATCTTTCATATTACACTGCTTCACAATATGTTAATGCGTCACATTGTGCAGCCCTTGGGAGATTATCACGGCAACTTGAGCCAGCAGACTGCTGACAGTTGACAATGGTATCTCAAGGCGTCTAAGCAGCATACACCTTATCTTAAGAATTACATCACCATGAGATCACTTGTTTCACCATTTCCACTAATAGTTCACATGCGTAGACATTTAATACACAATATCGCACCATTTTTACACATCAAAATCCACTTCAAACCATAATCTAAACAATACAGGAGCAGCAATCTGTCACCGGTCAAGTTCCCGCCAAAACTCTAATAAGATTTGACTTAAGCAGTCTGCCTTCGAGGATCTTTACACTACAACTTTATTACAAACTTCTATTTAACTATAACTAAACACACACACGTGCTCGGTGGTGAAGGAAAATAAGAACAAAAATAAACATCTCGAAGATATATGAAGTTCACCAACACGCATTAGGGTAGAGCGACGGACATTCTTTGCCCTAAAATCCCTCTCAAAAATGAGAGGAGGCCTGTGCCCAGCAATGGGACATATGTAGGCTGTAACTTTAATCACGTTATTGTCACCAGCACTAAAAGTAATTTTACGGATTTTATCGCGTATATTAACCTATTTTATTTTTCCGACGTTTCAAGAAATTTACAGCACCCATGGTCACCATGGATGCTGTAAAGTGCTGGAGTTCCCCACGTGACCATGGGTGTTGTAATGTGCTTGAAACGTCGAGAATATAAAATAGGTTAATATACGCGATAAAATCCGTAAAATTAGTTTTATTTAAAAGCACTAAAAGTGTTACACACACTATCAAGCACTGTAAGTATGTGGTGACAATACAATATACTCAATTGATGTTTTTTTTTAAATATCAGACGCCCCCAGGATATAGATATATTTTTTTCATAACCCTTTTATTTGGATATAAAATAAAAGGGTTTTTTTTATTTTATATCCAAATAAATCCATTACAACAAATAGATCCAAATATATTACATACCTCAAGATGACGGACGTCCCTAAAAGCTTGTTTTAATATTTTTTTTTTAATATCGTAGCTTTTTATATAACAATAAATGTATTGCATTATTCGAATGTCCGTCGCTAAAGGCTAGCTTTAAAAATTTTTAATATCGTAGCTTTTTATAAAACAAAAGCGACTGATGAAATTATTAAAATAACCCAGGGCAAAACAACTTTGCAAGTAATGAAAAAAAAATAAACACAAATGTACTCTTAACAATATATTCACTACATTTTTATAACAATGACATTTTATGCGTGGAAAAGTGTTTCGGGGCCGTAGTTTAGAATCCCGCTCACTACAAGTATGTTGATGTGACCTAGTAATAGACTAGCCTGCACTAACTTCTAATATTTTACCTATTAATTAGAATTGTATTAGAAGTTTTGAAATATCTTCCCAAGTAACAAATTAAAAGTCAGAAAAAAGTGTAACAGATAATAAGATATATAAATTTTGAAGTAATATTAAATAATGATAATTATATTAAAAAACAACAAACATTTTGTGCAAACCTCAAATCATTCCAGGCTTACGCGTGCCCATTAAACTGGCGGAATCTCCACTTTGTATGGCCAGTGTACAGATAGGGCAAAGGATGGGGACGCGGCACACTCCTTCATATTACATTTACACCGTACACTCATTTGCCTAGGTGGTCCTTACCGCCCAAAACATCGAACGATACAAGTTAGCCGTCAGAGCTGGGACCATTCACCATTGCTCGGAAGGCGGTTAGACTCATCTGTACACTGATTTTGGCATAGATGAACATCGTGCTAGAAAAGACGCCGAGATTTGATATTTACAATACGCGTTAGAATTCATGGGCTCAAACTTACTTAGTCTGTGCAATAAATTGGTACTCTGTTCGTTGTACATATACAATGTAAGTTCAATGCTGGTGACCTGGATAGAGTAATATCTAAGGTATAATTTACTGCAATCGCCTACAAGACAATTACGGTACTTCCTCCCAATTTGTAACAACGAAAGCTTTCTTTTCATCTAGGTGCTATTACAAACTATTTAGGGACGAAAATTTTAATAAATTAACACATTGTAATACATAACTATTTTAAAGATTTGCATGATGTCTTATACCTATAGAAGATTTTAGTAATAACTATGCAATGAACGTCTTTATTGCATCCTACTAATAATATTATAGACGTGAAAGTTTGTGAGGATGTATGAATGTTTGTTACTATTCCACGCAATAACTACTGAATGTATTTTAATGAAACTTAACGATAATATAACTCATACATCAGAACGAAACATAGGCTATAATTAATAAAGATATTGTATAAAAAATTGGTCAAATTTAACAATGAGTGTTAAGTAAGTCGGAAGTCATCTGCGAGCTATTTTAGCGTGCGCAGTGCAGAAACTGTAAGTTACACAAATAAAATGTACGGTGGAATTGTTTCTCCTAAATAGTTCTACAAAAAGTTCGCGACAGTATATATATAACTAGTCAGGTCACAAATTCTGTCACATGTTTAATATAAAATAATTGAAACAAGTTTATTCATTATGTAACCATTTATATACCAAATTGAACTTAACAAAACATAGATTCTTATGACACTAAAGTTTATTCAAAATGACCTCCGTGATCTTGAATATAGGCCTTCAATCTGCGCGGCCAGTCGTCTATCGCAGCACGAACGAGGTCCATGTCAATATCGGCGGCTGCCTTAATCAAGGATGTCTTGAGTGACTCCAAATTGGGATGAGGCTTTGAGCACGCCTTTTCCTCCAAGTGTTGCCATATCTTGTAATCTAACGGATTCAAATCTGGACTGGAGGAGGTCCAGTCTTCGTGCCGGATGAAATCGATTTCACGCGCCGCCAGCCAGTCTTGTGTGCTCTTCGCTCTATGAGCTGGCGCCGAATGTTGTTGGAATACCCAGTGCCTGTTATTGATCATGGTATAAGAAACAGGTTCCACAAGGTTCGTCAGGACTGTATTTTGATACACAACTGCATTCGTTTTTACACCTTTCTCACAAAAATGTACCTCTGTTAAGCCCCAATAAGAAACTCCCAACCATACCATGAGCGAGGATGGAAAATGACCTCGTTGGACACGCGGAATACGGTTGCTCGCTTCTTCACTACTGTGTGCGTACACCTTATCTTATCATTTTGTTTGTTGTATCTCTCTTCTACGGTAAAAATTTTTTCATCCGAAACAAGAATTTCCCGATATTTTTTTCCCGCGTACCGCTTCAACAAAACGCGGCATCTCTTCAGTCTCAGGTCCATTAGACGAGCATTCAAACGATGTCCTGTTTTTCTTCGATATGCCCGAAGCCCTAAGTCTTCATTTAACACCCTTTTCACCGTTGTTCTGCTTAACCCCATCTGAAGGGCCAACAGTTTCTGCTTACGTTTGGGATTTCTTTGAATTCGCGCCTTCACAGCTTTTATCACTGCTGGAGTCCTAACAGACCGCGGGCGACCACTTCTTGACCTTTCATCTACACTAGAGTCTTCATTGTATCGTTTGATGGTACGATAAACGAATCTTTTGGTTATATTAAAATTTTTCAGTATGTCAAAAATTTGAATTGGCGCGTAACCGCAACGATGCAACGCAATAACTGTAACACGGTCTTCTTTAAGCGTCCACTCCATATTTAAAAATGAGTAAAATTCTAAAAAGTATATAGTTTTATTTTCATGAACAATTCGAAATTCGAATTCAATAAACTTTTTTGTGGCCAGCATTCTAAAAGAAAAGTTTTTACTGTGTGACAATATTTATGACCTGACTAGGTATATCTATTTTTTATGTGTAAGACATTATTACCAAAATAGTGTACCATAAATACAATAAAATTTGATACTTTATTGATACCTAAAGAGGATGATGGAATTTACTATGAAAGTGCGATTATTGATGGATCACCTATAGTTTAAAGTATAATATCAACGCGGATGAAGTCGCGGCCAAAAGCTAGTAGTTAATAATTTAATCTTTCTTATAATTGAAGTTATTAAAATTATAGCTATGTGTTTACAGAAGAAATAACAGAACAGTGCGATCATTTAAATATATTTTAGTGTTACCAAGTTTCGAAACAACAACAAGTTCTTGGAATTTACATGTTCCGCATTTTCAACAATTTTTTAATGTCAAAAACGAAATAACGTAGGTGAATTTTTCATGTCGTCCACTCACAAACAAAACAATTTCTAGGTATCATTTATCATACAAAAG